AAATAGGATTGCTCAAGTGGTGCAGATTTCATTCAGACTGACTCTTTCTCATTGCCCTGATCTCTTCAAATTGCAATGAAATACTTTTACAGTTGTATTTCAACACTAGTCTGGAAGCTCAACTGGCACTAAAAAAACAATTGTAACTCTGTATCAGTGATCAGCAATTTCTGCAAGGTGGTTCTGGCAATTGAGAGTTACTAACATGCTTGAATTTTTGAGTCTTTGTATTATCAAGTCAGAAAGGCAATTTTCCATTTGAAAACCTCCAGGTCTTTTGATTTCGTGTGTTTTTCCAAGTTTATCTCTATGCTTTAGACTCATTTTTGTCTTTTAAGTGTTGAATTGAATGAAAATGATGTACTATACATAAGTGAACAGAAATAACAGCTAAGGCTCAACATGATGGCCAATTTAGATCAGGCACCAGGGCTAGGATTTACAGTCTCTAGCTGTGGATGTCAACATGAGAAATAGTCATGGCAGGCTCATTTTACGGTAGAAACAAGAAGAAACAAGGATTTTCAGAATGCAATGCATCTCCTACCAAAATAAAGATATAAAACAGAGAGGATGGTTTTGTGTTTGAACAGCATCTATTTCTCACCATTTCCTGCAATGAGAGCCATGCACAGCTTATTAGGATGTAGAAGATCAAAGTTAGCTGACATGAACTGAACCTCGAGCTTCTGACAAAAAAGTTTACTCAGAAATCCTACAGACATTTATTTACACTGTACATTTTACAACCTTTTATATGTATAAAATTTTTAAAATTTCAGTTGGAGCCTACAAACATTGTGCAAAGTGACTCTTAAACATGTTTAAAGTACTTTTCTTCTATCAACTTACTTATGTTACCCTAGATTTAATACATTTTTCTGCTATGAAGGCAATTATTCATGAAGATCAATTAGTCTCTTACTTTTAGTAAGGCCAAAGTTAGAGTATAGTTTGGCAGGCTGCAGTACTAGATTTTTGCAAAAGTTAAAATATCTAGTCCTTTTATTAACAGTCAGTGTGGTGGTACATGCAAGATTTTCATCATAACCACGTGTGATAGTCTGTGATATCTCTGGTAAATCTACGACTACAGGAGATTTTCCAGTAAGTATGACAACTAACTGGAGAGCAGGTTGGCAGAGAAGGTCCTAATGGTCCTGGTGGAGACTAAGTTTAACATACCACCATTGTGCCCTTGCCACAAGTAATTTTAATGGGATTCTAGAATGCATTGGATGCAGTATTGCCAGCAAGCCAGGGAAGGTGATCCTTCCCTTTTATTTATCACTGATGAGGCTACACCTGGAGCACTGTGTCCAGTTTTGGGTTCCTCAATACAAGATAGGCATGGACATTCTGGAAAGAGTTCAGTGAAGGGCCATGGAGATGTTGAAGGGACTTCAACATCAACTTCTTCAGGAAAAGGCCCATTGCCTCTTGTTTGGACACTGAACACCACTGACAAAACCCTGGCTCTATCTTCTATATTCAATCTCTGCTATTCCTAAGCTATGTATATACATTGATAAGATACCACTGAGCCCTTAATTTCTCCAGGGTGAACAGCCCCAGCTCTCTTAACCTTTCCCTGAAAGGGAACACTCTGAACTTCATTTTGTCATGGTAAGGGTGACAAAGCACTAGACTAAATTGCCCAGGGACATTGTGGGACTCTCCATCTTTGAAGATATTCAAAAGCTAGCTAGACATGGTCTTGGGGAATCGGCTCCAGCTGACTGTTGGATGGTTACAGGCCCTACAGGATAGGCAGGGCAGAAGAGGTCAAGGGGTGGCACTCTATGTTATAGAATAATTAGAATGTGTGGAGCTCACAGTTGGCAATGGTATATTTGAGAGTCTCTGGGTAAAAATCAATGGGATAAACAAATAATGAGGATGTCATCATGGGAGTCTGCTACAGACCTCCTAGACAGGACAATGATGCTGACAAATCATTCTTTGTGAAACTAAGGGACACTTCCAAGTTAACTGCCCTTGTCCTTATGGGGGACTTTGTCTTGCCAGAAGTGAACTGGGAGCATTACACAGCTGGTACAACCTGGGCCAGGAGACCCCTAAAAAACCTGTATGACAGCTTTATGGAACAGATCTCAAGGGAGCCAATTCAGAAAAGATTTCCTCCTTGAACTGCTGCTTGTCAACAGAGTGGATCTCATGAGCAAAGTCGAGATTGTTGTTCGTCTTGGCCACAGAGACCATGAAGTAATCGAGTTTAAAAACTCTGTTGACAGGAAGAAAAGTGCCAGCAAAACCTCAACTCTGGACGTGAGGAGAGCGAACTTCAGGCTACTCAGGGAATTAGTAAGGTCCCTGGGAAAATGTTTTCCCAGGTGCTGGGGTCGATCAGCACTGATTGCTTTTTAAACATCACCTTCTAAGGGCACACGAACAGGCAATTCCCAAATGCTGGAAGTCAATCAGGTGAGGCAGAAGGTCAGGAATAGGAAACTTCTCTTGGAAATAAAGCAAAAAAGGAAGGTGAATGCCCAGTGGAAGCAAGGTCAATTGACATGGGAAGAATTAAAAATTTTGCTTGTTGCTGTAAGGTGAAAATTCATGTGGCCAAAGCTCAAATGGAGTTGCAGCTGTCCAGAAATGTAGGGGACAATAAAATGAATTTTTTTCAAATATATTAATGTCAGTAGGCCGTATAGAAATATCGCTGGCCCATTATAGGATGAGGATGGTCACCTCACAAAAAGGGACAGAGACAAGACAGAGAAGTTTAATGCTTTCTTTACCTCTGTGTTCAACATGGATGATGGACCAAGAGGATCTCAGTGCCCCGAGCTGGAGGAACATGACTGAGAAAATGATCAATTCCCAGTCGATCCTGAGATTGTGCTGGATCTGCTGCTCCAGCTGGATCTCTACAAATCCATGAGACTTGATGGGATCCACTCCAGAATCCTCAAAGAGCTAGCTGATGTCATCACAAAACCTCTCTCAATGATTTTGTGCAGTCTTGGGAATCAGGAGAGGTCCCATCTAACCGGAACTGATTTTCAAGAAGGGCAAGAAGCAGGACTCTAGAAACTATTGGTCTGTCAGTCTCCCTTCAGTGCTTGGTAAAGTTATGGAGAAGATTATTCTGGGAGATACTGAAAAACACCTGAAAGACAGCACTGCCATCACTCACTCAGCATGGCTGAGTGAGAGGAAAGTCCTGCTTATCAATTCTGATTTCCTTCTATGACAATGTAACCCATCCAGCTCATCAAGGGAAGCCAGTTGATGCCATCTTTTGGGATTTCAGTAAAGCTTTCGATATTGTCTCCCACAGGGTCCTTCTGGACAGAATGTCCATCACACAGCTGGATAAACACACCATGCAGTGGGTGAGCAATTGGCTCAAGGGTCGAGCACAAAGGGTGACATCAGATTGGCGATCTGTCACCAGTGGGGTTCCACAGGGCTCCATCTGGAAGGCATACTAAGCAAGTTTGAAGATGACACAGAACTGGGAGGAGCTGGTGACTCCTTGAAAATCAGGGAGGGCCTGGAGAGAGACCTTGAAAAATCAGAGGACTGGGCAATCACCAACCATAGGAAATTCCACAAGGGAAAGTGCCAGATTCTTCAGCTGGGATTATGCAACCCTGGATGTGCATACAGCCTGGGGAATGAGATGCTGGAAAGCTGTGCCACAGAAAGAGACCTGGGGTCCTGGTCAATGGCAGTTGAATCTGAGTCAGCAGTGCCCTGGCAGCCAGGAGGGCCAACCGTGTCCTGGGGGGCATCAGGCAAAGCATCGCCAGCGTGTCAAGGGAGGGGATTGTCCTGCTCTGCTCTTCACTGGGGAGGCCTCACCTCAAATATTGTGGCAGTTTGGGGCACTGCAATATAAGAAAGATATTAAGGTCTTAAAGAGTGTCTTAAAGGAAGGCAATGAAGAAGGCAAAGGGCCTTGAGGTGAATCAGTATAAGAAGTGGCTGAAATCACTTGTTCTGTTCAGCCTGGAGAAGAGGAGACTGAGGGGAGACCTCAATGCTGTTACAACTTCCTCGTGAGAGAAAGAGGAGGGGCAGATGCTGATCTCTTCCCTCTGGTGACCAGTCATAGGACCTGAGGAAATGGACTGAAGCTGTGTCAGAAGAGGTTTAGGTTGGGTATTAGGAAAAGGTTCTTCCCCCAGAGGGTGGTTGGGCACTGGAAGAGGCTCCCCAGGGAAGCGGTCACAGCACCAAGCCTGACAGAGTACAAGAAGAGTTTGGATAATACTCTTATGTACATGGTGTGCCTCTTGAGGATAGTCCTGTACAGGGCTAAGGCTGCCTTCCAACTAAGAATATTTGGCATATTCGGCATATTCTGTGATTCTGTGACTGTGCTTGAGCAGAGCATTTGGACCAGAGACTGTAGAGTACTTTCCAACATCAGTAATTTTGAGAATCTGTAAAGTATGCCTTACAAGTTCCTGAAGAAGTATTATTTGAAGAATGCAACAACAAACAATAGTAATTGATGGCAACAGTTTAATTTATTACTTTTTTCTTATTTATCAATATGATAATGCCAGATAATACCCACAATTTAAATGAAAAAGTCAAAATTTAAAACATCAAATACATGAAAGGAAATAATCATAAGTAATACAGATTCCTGATGTTTGTTCTGCCTTATTTTAGAAATATATAACAGTCTTAATTCAGAAAGCACACAGACATTTTAACTAATGAATTCCAGGATAGGTTAGTAATTTTAGAGGTTTTTTCGTGCTTTTCCACCAGTTACAAAATAACAAAAACAATGAGTTATAAGTACCAGAAAGGCTCTCTGTCTAGATTGCTGCAGGATGACAGTTATCTTTTTTTTTTTTTTATGGTTTAGGGAGGGACCTTAAAGATCATCTAGTTCCAATCCCCTGCCATGGGCAGAGACAACTTTAACTAGACAAGGTTTCTCAAACTAAAAGCTGTTATGAGGTCTCCATGAAGCTTTTTCTTCTCCAGACCGAACAGCACCAACTTTCTCAGCCTGTCTTCATAGTGGTCCAGTCCTACTATCAACTTCATGGCCTCCTCTGGAATTGCTCCAACAGTTGCATGTCCTTCTTATGTTGTGGACACCTGAACTGTACACAATATTGCAAGTGAGTTCTCACAAGAGCAGAGTAGAGGGGGAAAATCACTTCCCTCGACCTGCTGGCCTCCTTTTGATGCAGCCCAGGACATGGTTGGTTTTCTGGGCTGCGAGAACATGTTGCTGACTTATGTTGAGCATTTTGTCAACCCTGAAACACAAGTCCTTCTCCACAGGGCTAGTCTCAATCACTTCCTTTCCCAAAGTGCAGGTGTTACTCATTGAGAAAATGGTACTAGAATTTTCAAAAAGCAGGCCTGTGTCAGCCCTGTAGGATGACTCTTCACTGTTACGATTTCTCAGCTAGTACATTAAGGACTACTCTCTTCTGTGTATGTCTCCCAAGTGGGAATGGGCCAAATTTTTTTCTGGGAATTGTCAAACTGCAAGAGGCTTCCTTGTTGGGGAAGAGACACTGTATTGGCTTAGAAATGTTAATAAACATTTAAAGGCTGATAGAGTTGAGATAAGAGTTGTTTTACTTAAAACACTCCCATATACATAGTTCTAGTCTGAAGGAAATCCTTTGAACATTTATCAGTTTTATTCAAAGTCACTTGAAACATATTGAAAATTAGCAATGTTTGAGTTAAAAGGAAAGAGTGACTACTATGGACTTTTTCCCACACTTTTGACATAAACAGCCCTTTTATCATGTTTTAATCACAGTATAAAAGTAATGACTAGGCAAAAAGCAGTGTCATTCATGGGACTTAAAACATTAAAGAATTCCTCAGACTGTTTTTTTCAGCCGGCCTGAGTTCCTTTGGGCAGCAATGATATTATAAATTTATATTTTACAAAGCAGTAAAGTTCTAGGAAATTTATTTCCATTTTATTCTAGACATAATAAGAATAGATTAATATATTTTTGATCAAATTAATCATCACAACAAATAGTTTCAGCAAGGATTTCCTTTATCAATGTAATTCATTATTATTTTTGAAAATCTATCTAATTCTTAAAAATTGACAGGAATTATGACTATGCATTCCAAAGAAATGAAATATGAATAGCTACCTGATTTTCACCTAAACCATGGTGCAGTAGTGGAAAGATTAGAATGAAGAAATGGAACATAAACTCAAAGAGGACACAGAATATTTATATTCTTCCAAAGCAGGAATGGCAATAGTCATTAACTATATGTGCAAATGAAAAAAAATGCTGTTCAGATAGTGAAGTCTTATAAGAACAACAAAATAAAGCATAAAGTTGAGTAACAGGTACTTTATTCAAGCATCACAATAAAGAAAAGACTGAGGTGTCAGTGATGGTGCAGTTTGAGATCCCTTAGGCAAATCTAACTTGAGTGAGAGACCAAGCTGGTCCTCTGTAGGTCCAAGCACAAGCAAGAAGACAAAAATACTATTTCTGTTCAGTCCCCCATATAATGTCCTGCTTTGTTTTCATCAGCATATTACTCAAAGACTGTGTATCTGCCACACAAATCTGAATAATGAATTAATGTGTCCAAATCCTCTTTCAAAATGAGTTTTTTGGTGCAAATGCTCAGGAAACTAAGAAAGAAGACAACAAAACCATGTTTATTTTAAAATCCAAGTGTAAGCAAAAACTCTGGCATGTTGGTTACTACAATGGTGTCAACTTAGTACCTGTCAGCAGCACAGGCTTCCCTGCATTCAGGTTTCCCATCCACTTTGCATGTGGTATCTTCTCCTAGACAATCCCATTTCCCAGAAATAAAACCTGAAAAACAGACAACTTATTTAGACAAACCACTGGAACTTATAAACATTAAAATACCCTAGTCTTAAATTGCAGATATTAGGAATAAAAAAGGTAAAATAAATTGTGTGATTACTTGCACTTAACAGGAGCAGAATAAAGTTTGAAACAAAGTAGGAATATTCCTTGATCTAAAGTAAGACAGGAAAAAAGATAGTTTTTTTCTCCAACATGTAGAGATTCTATATAAATTGATTCAGGCTAAGCTAAAGTGCAGCAGAATGCAATGCAAGATAAAAATTTCTGGTAAATATACATCATCTTGGTTTAGATCCTTTAGAACATATTTGTTTGGAGAAAAGCTATTGGAGCTTTATACAACTGTTTAAAACTCTGTCTCATTTTATACCATGAAATATTTAAAAGAGTCTTAAAACAGCTGATTGCTCCACTGCTTTTTTAATTCCAGTATTTTGTCAAAATGTCACATTAGGTCTTAAACTCCTGAACACTGGCAGAAATTATACATGTTTGCTGTAGATATTAAACATTTAGAGGTTTTTTTGGGTCATGTGATGGCTGAAGTAGAAGATTGGAATTCTTGCAGGTATTAAGACAGATATGGGCAGGCATTGACACCAGTCATGAGTTTATCTCATGGAAAAGGTTTATGGCAGAGCACCAAAAGGAAACATGTAAAATAGAGTTTTTCATTGAAAACTAAGTTAAGCATTGTAATATTTTTTTTTATTTTTATGAAAGGGCATTTGTAACAAAGATCCATGTTTTATGCCTGCGATAAAATCTGACTTATTTTCCACAAAAGTGGTCTCTGTAGTAATATCATCCATGCTAAGGTCATCTCGAGGGTGGAAAATGAACACAGTATTCTGACTGATAGAACTGAGCCCAGCAAAACTATGATTACAGGTTGCTTTTTATCTGTGTCTACTTTAATTTCAGTCTGTCAGTTGTTTTACTTTCTTCCTCGAACAACACTGAAGGTCTGATTTTTAGAGATATTGAGCATTCAAACCTCAAACTTTGTTCAATTAACAGCTTGTTTTTGCACTGTCATTTCAAAACAGCATTTGGTTAAAGCTGCAATGCATAATAAAATATATTACAGATAAAGTAATTGTGTATATTTCAGGGAAGAATAAGAGTATTGCATGAAACAACCATTAAGTTAAACCAGTCAGGTACTGCTTCTGTGTGAAATGGAAATACTTGGGGCTATTTTTACAGTGTACTCAGAATTCATATGTTAGCTTTAGAAGATGTTAAATACATGAATGGAGAGGAATGGAGAGGTTTCAAACATACTCTGCTCAAAAAAGTAAAAAAAATTAAGAAAAGAATAATTCCATTTTTGTTTTCAGTGTAGTAATCATCCTGTAAATATGCATGGAATATTATAATAATTCTAATAATAATAAAAGAAGAAAAACAATAATAAAAAGTTTATTTTTCAGTGGATGTGTAATTAGATTAGTTTACGTCAAAACTGAGTACTTACAATGGATTGCTATCAATATATTGTCTTCTAATCTTACCATGTGGGATTTGTCATTGTGACCGAATATTCTTCAAGATCATGAGTTCAGTGGGGAACAGAATGATGAACTGTGCTCATTCCATTCAAGGACTTCATCTCTCATAAAAGCAAGCAAATGGATTTCTTGTCAAGAATGCCAAAAGGGAAAAGTGCATTTAATTTCTTCTGGGAAATCTATCTGTGAAACAGAAAGACAAAAGGAGTTTGATGATGGCCAAAACCAAAAAGACATCAGAAGAGACTACAACTGAAATGTTTATCATCTATTCTTGCATGATAAGTAACTCCATACATTTCTTGTATCAACAAGGAATACTTACGTGACTACAAATATGGAGAGTCAGAACCAGAAGTCTCTCACTAATTTTTAAACTGATATAAATATAACTGAAATATGTCTTACAAATCAGATTGAAAAAATTAAAATTAGAATATAATTGCAGTTAAAAGTTATAGATGTTGTGAAATATTGTGTGGATTTTATTCTTTTTCCAGTAAAGACACTTGAGCTCAAGTTTTGCATTCCTGAGCTCATTCAGTTGAATTCATTGTAGAGCTGGGAATTTAATAAACAGTTGTACTTGTGTTATCAGTGAACATACCCTGTTTTTTATTTATGTAGCAGCTTCCTACTCAAACCTTCCCTGCACCTAAAGCTGTGTCAACCCAGAGAAGGCAAATGTACTATCTGAGAATATGGAGACTAACATTATGTCAAACTGCTTAATGCTATCCTGAAGTTCTATTTGGATGTAAACATGAGTAGATACTTAGACTATACTAATGAAAGTAGACTTCTAATTCATTCTTATTCACAGGAAAGCAAATGAAAATGACATGAAGATAACTGAGGTACTCAACAATTTCTTTGCCTCAGTTTTCACTGGCAATAACTCTTTTCACATCTCCAAGGCCGTGAACATTAAGACAGGGAGCAGGGGAAGAAAGACTCATCCGTTAGAAGAGAAGATCAGATTCAAGATGACCTAAGGAACATGAATATACAGAAGGTCATGACATCCAAAAAGATGAAGACTAGGATATTGAGGGAACTGGGTGATGTGATTGCCAAGTTGGTCTCCAACACATCTGAAAAATTTATGGCAGTCAGGCTAAGTCCCAGCAACTAGAAAAAAAGGGAAACTTCACACTCATTTTTTAAAAAAGATACAAGGAAGGACCTTGAGACATACTGGCCAGTCATCTTCATCTCTGTTCCCACTGAGATCATGGAATAGTTTCTCCTCAAATTTACGTTGAAACATATGGAAGATGGATGGTGATCAGAGATGGCCAACATTACTTCACAAAAGGCAAGTCCTGCCTAACTAATGTCATAGCTATCTACAATGAAGTGACTAAATCTCTCAGGGACAAGGGGACAGCAAGATGTAATCTACATGGACTTCTGCAGGACTCATAATAATAAGGTCCTCATAATTCTTTCCTTTAAATTGGAAAAATATGGATATGATGGATGGACAGTTACACAGAAAAGGAATTGGATTCATTGACATCCAAAGAAAACAGTAAACATGCCAAACTCCAAATGGAAACGAGTGATAAGTGCTGTCTCTCAAAAGTATATATTATTTAATATGTCCACTGAGGGAATATATAGTGGAATTGAGTGCATCCTCGATAACTCTGCAGACCACACCAAGCTGCGTGGTGCCACTGATATGCTTAAGGGAAGAGATACCATCCAGAGGGACCTTTACAGGCTTGAGCAGTGGGCCCACAAGAACTTCATGGAGTTCAAGGCCAAGTGCAGGGTCGTGCACCTGCTTGAGCCAATTCCCTTTATCAGCACAGACCGAGTAATGAATTGCTTGAGAGCAGGTCTGCAGAGGAGGACTTGGTGGTACTGGTAGATGAAATATTGGACACGAAATGGAAATATCTGCTTGCAGTTCTGAAACCCAACTGTAACCTTGGTTTCATCAAAAGGAGTGTGGCCTACAGGTCAAGGGAGGTGATTCTCTGCCTCTACTCCACTCTTGTGAGATCCTACTTGAGGTGCTGGATCTGCATCAATACGTGAACCTTTTGGAGAGGGTCTAGGGGGCTGGAACATCTCTCACTGAAGAAAGGCTAAGAGAGTTGGAAAAGAGAAGGCTTATTCCAGCATTTCACTATTATTCCAGCATTTCACTATTTAAAGAGGCGCTTTGAAGAAATATTGGCAGAGAATTTTTCTTGGGGCTTGTAATTAGGACAGGACAAGGAGTAATGGTTTTAAACTAAAAGAGAGTAGATTTAGATTGGATATAGGGAAGATAATTTTAAGATAAGGATTTTGAGACACTGGAACAGCTTGCCCAGAGAAGTGGATGTCTCACCTTTGGAAGTGTTTGAAGTCAGATTGAACAGGGCTTTTAACACCTGTTTTAGTGAAAGATGCCATACCCATGGCAGGAGTTTGGAATAGATTGTCATTAAGGGTCCTGTTCAACATAAAGAATTCTACAATTCATAAGATTTTTAACACCTTTTGAGACTTTACCACAAACAGTTAAATATTTCAAACATTGATATAATGTATTCATATGTAAGTATAAATAACTGCATTTCCAAGTTTTGCACTATTTTATACCTTTTATGGGTTGTTATTTAAATTCCTCTTTCAAAACCACTGTAATTATGTGGTCCTTTTTATTTAGTAACAGTATGTGGTACTTCCTCTAAGAGCAAGCAGTTTGTCAAGTGAGAGATCATTAAATAGTTTGATTACTCATTTTTATGCAGTTACTAAATATTTTGGTTGCTAATAATGAATTAACATTAACGTAGGATGAAATATGTATAATTAACTATTTTTTTCTTTTTTTCATAAACTGGTTTATACCTTATCCTCTTCCACAGTCTCTTTGGCCCAAAATTGTTCTCTTATTGTCTTATTTCTGTTGCAAAAAGATGGATGTTTTGCATCTAATACATAGCAGTCAACAGAGTTCATTTCACATAAACAAAACTTTAAATGCACCAAAAGAAAATGAAAATCCATGTCATGCGATTCTGATGTGATCTCAAGGGAGTAGTCTTTGCTGTTAAAATAACAATTATTAAAAATACAACACACACCATGTCCACATGCAGGGCAAGAAAGGAGGCCTGCTATTTTGGTACCTTACAGAAGTCAGAATTTTCATTTTATTGTTAGATGAAAGATATTCTTCCAAGAGAAACCTCTTTTTTTATTATTTTATTTCATTTATTTTTAAAAATTATTTTGTGCTTCTAAATCCTATGTAACTTCTAGGAGGTCTTGAAAAGCATGATCTGAGCACATCATTCTAATTAATGGATCACTTGGCAATTTTTCACAGTAAAAAAGTCTGCTCCCTTCACAGAATAACACATACCTTTACGCTATTTGTTCTGGCTCTGTCTTGGTTTTCTGGAAGATTAAATTAGTTTAGACCATGTTTCATAACCATTCTGATATATCATACTCACTACAGGGAAGCCTGTCACTGATTATCACATTCAAAACCTCATCTCCCTTGTTATCAAACAGCAGATCCAGCTGCATATCAGTTCAACATCTTCTGGAAATCACGAGTTCTTGAACCTTACTGCACTATATTGGCAGCAGATATCAGGGAAGCTACAGTTCACCCTGAGAACAGGGATTTATGACACAGAGGCTTTTTCCGATGATTGAAACTTGCCGACCTCCATGCCCTGGTTGGATTGACACAATCAATCCATCGTTACTGGCATGATCTCTGACCTGACCTTATGAGCTCTCAGATCACCTTTTGCACATGTCAGAGAGGAGCACCATGCATCCAAGGTGCTCCTTCACAGGAAGGGCAGCTTCTCTCCCTGTTCTACCCCTCTTGAAGATCTTAAACCTGTCCATCACTCTGAAGCTGTGCTAGCTGTCCTACAACACCTCAGTTTTTCAAACAATGTCCCAGTTTTGTGGATGGAGTTCTGGTCACTTCTGCTTATTTCCAGGCTGCACATATTTGTGAGCATGTACTTCAGACTGGTTTACTTATGTTCTACTTCATCATTCTTTTTTGTTACCATTGCTCTTCACCCTCTGCTTTCCACCTCTTTCTACTGTTATCTCTTTAATTGGCTGTGCTCTGCAATATTGCTACTCCATTTTGTAAAACTCTTCTGACCAGCTTGGCCTGCCTCTTGACAAAAGTGCCCTTGCCCTGCTTTGCCAGAGCTATTACATTGCTCTATGGCAGTCCTTGATACTCAAAGGTTCTAGGGAAGGGAAGCCAAGGCAAGGCAAGGCAAGGCAAGGGAAGGGAGGGGAAGGCAAGGCAAGCCAAGGGAAGGGAAGGTTTGGTTTGGGAAGGTTTGGTTTGGGAAGGTTTGGTTTGGTTTGGTTTGGGAAGGGAAGGGAAGAGAAAGAGTAAATTAATAACAAACAATGAAAGGAGATAAGTAAGAGCACCAGCAGGAGAAGGCAGAGCTGGTGAACAGCAGTGAAAGGTCTCTGCTGATGACATTAGCAACCCAGTTTTGCTGAGTGACTCATCAAGTGACACTAATACAGAATCAGTCTGTGAAATTATATCATGAGTTGTTATGTGAATAAAGGACATAGTGTTTATCTCATATCATATGGAGATCATCAGCTAAAGACATTAAAGTTCTACTTTTCTACCACTGTGATTGAATAAATTCTAATGATCTACACAATAAAGATACTCTGTAATGGAAAATAGGAGAAATTTTTAAAAATATTAAAAGGAAAACTGAATAGCCTTCTTTCTTGGCCTACAGTGGCACCAGAAAGCTTAAAATTTTGCAACTGTTTCTCACACATAAAATATTTTTTACTAATTTTTATATAAATAATTTTATAGAGTGAAAACAACTTATACTAAATGCAAACCTCAATATAAACATATTTTATTTAAATTATTTTTAGTTTTAATAGAATTCTATGATAAAAAACTCAAACAGCCAGTAGGCTGTTAATATGTGGAAACAGGTTGTAACAAGTAAAATTTAACCTAAAAGTATTTGAACTTTTTAGGTTGAATGTTGACAATTAAATTAAAATGTAAACAAAATCTTGGATTTTCTTACAACTATGTGCCTTTAGTTGTAAGGGCATAGGTGAAATAGTTGCTGATGGGTGTTGGGAAATAATGTGAAATGTTATTCCATTGCTTTTTTTTTGCGAGTTTTTCTTCCTTTTAA